TTCGCGCCTTTCACTTTCCCTAAATTTTTCCTTGACAAATTCTTTTGAATTTGACTCTGAAGCCCAGTGGGATGCCCTGATTTTTGCCTAAGAGACTTGTTTTTTCAAGTTTCGACTTAGCGGGGCTTTTTGTCTCTTTCTTTTTTCACTTCCTTTTCTTTCCTTTTGAACAAGTCATTTTTATTCATGTCATCTTCAATTTGTTGGAAGTGATTGTGACTGTCTGAGTCCTTGGTAGATGAGGGATAACCATTGTGGTATCTTCATCTATTGACATCCTAATGTGAGAGAGATAAATATTATGGTATCATCCTTTTTTTATGCTCACTTATGATAGGCGAAGATTACCATTGCGGCTTTTACTTTCCTCAACCTTTTGAACAATAACCATTGTTATATCCTTAGATGCGCACTCTTAATGAGTTTTGAACGCTCAATCAGATTAATTGAACACTACCCTGCCCCGAGTTAAATGTGAGGGTTTTCTCTGACAAGAAAAGAAGCTCATACTTCAAGGATCAAAGGGGTTGATGAGGGTCTATCTCACTTATATCTTCGGTGTTTAGGAATTGAAATAGGGCATGTACATCGTCATCATGGTTCTACTCAAAAGCATACCGTTTGAGATTATAGGTATATTTCTCATCATCCTCCCTCCAGAGGTTTTTGCTTTGTTCACAAGAGTTGAGTATCAAAAAGCAAATAAAAACATTAATGAGTGAATATGAATAGATTAATTCAAGACAAACATATTCAATGCATTATGATTATTATTCAAAAATAAGAAATTTTTGCATAAAAGAAAGTGCTAAACAAAACAAGAAATATTACAAATGAGAATGAAAATGTAATTTGAAATTGCCATGTTGAGGAGACTAGTCTCCGTATGGACTTGTTGCTTCAAACGATGCTCTGGCAGTCTTGACATTCACTAAGTCAAAGGAGACTTCAAGTTTGTCCAATTGGTGCAAGAATGATAGCTTTTGCATCAAGCAAGTCTTACACTTCATCTTTGAATTGTTTACAACCTTCAGTTGAATGGCCAGATGCCCCAGCATGGTAATCATATTGGATATTCCTTCAAAAGATGTGATGAATGCTTTATCAAGCAAACTTTCTTAAACTGCATCACAAAGTATCTTCTACCATGGAGAAGAAATGCCAACCATCTTATTTGAGGTATTTTTCTTCTATACAACATCAGATGTTCAATAATCTTGATATCTTATACTTCTTCATCATAGAAGCATCACCCCATATTCTACTACATAGACGAAGCATTCAGGTGAGGAGAAAGAGTCTAAAAAAGTTCGTCAACCATGGACTGAACCTTGGAAAAGAATCCAAACAAGTGTCACACTTCATACTTCAACCTCTTGCAGTTTTCAATATCATAACCAGGTGCCATCGAGCACGAAGCTTAATCAACTAAGCTTCCAACACACGAGGAAGTAACTGGATGCAAGGTATAAAGATTGTATCAACATGCTTCTCAGGTTTCTTATGTCTTCACTGATAAGCTTTGACCCAATGGGTTCACTTGGAGACCAGAAACTAGATGCAGACGAGAAAATCCGAGAACACAAAGTTCTTAATGAGACCCACAAAGTATCTCATGAGTTGAAAAAGTTCCAATAGGCTGGGGATGAATGACAACTTTTATTGCAATAACATATATAGAATCACTTTCCTTTTCTAAAACTATCTTCAAAACTTCCATACCCGACTCAACGGAGTCTCTAACTGGTTATCTTTTCCCTTAAGGATTTCTGACCATGGACCATTGCCTGCATGTCCACAATAAACATCCCCATCTGATTTTTCATCTCATCCAATTCCCCACGAAGTTCTTCCATGGCTTTTTTGGATCACGATGCGGTGAGAAGTCAAGATTTGCAGTTCTAAAAAGAATACCATGCCTAAATAAGAATTCCCCACTCTATGTACCTATTATAGATGCATGAAGATGCATGAGTGGAATGAGTGGATGCAATGCCATGTTCAATCACTTTCAAGGAACCCACATGATTTTATTTTTGATTTCAATCTAGCAAGAGATGGGCAAACACAACATAATGTTAACAAGCACGGTTCCTTGGAAATGGAAAAAACATGTGTGTAAACTTTTTTCATGCATACTTTTTTTACACATTTCTTTTTTTTTTGTGAAAATAAATATGCTATGATGCATAACAAATACCATAGGTTCAAAAGTTCAGCGTAGCAACTATACAATCCTCTAGATAACTGTTGTATAAATTTGCTGAATAACACAAGATCAAAGGTTCGGCACCAATTTCAGAATACAACGGAACCAAGTACTATGAATAACCATTGTATAATCTTTGGACAAGTTGAATATATCAGGATCACATGTCCAGAACATAAACAAAGAACCATAGTCACCAACAGAACAAAACAATCACCATCAGAACATAGTCACCATTTATACCTATAAAGATATATTCCCGCCCCACTCACGGGTGAAACTAGGTCAGGGTAAGAAAAGGTAACTCAAAATCACGGGTTCGCTTGAGAATACTATCATTATACACCTACATGATAATGATAGCAACTCACTGAAACTTCTTCTGAGCATGGACGACACAGCCGTATAGGGTAATCTACATCCCCTATCCATTGCGTTCCACTATATTCCTAGTGTTCCTATTGTTTTTCACTTGACCTGGGTATTAGACCTTTTACCTCGTAGTAACACCCACCCAACAAAGAAACATAGAAAATAGCACAACAACAGTATAGCAGATAAAATGCATGAAAACATATGCTCAGATAAACATGTACAAATGAATAATCTGAAAGCATGCAAATAAACACCCAACAAAAAGAAAACAAGAGCTAGGAGCGACTACAGGATATAACAGTATTTGGTCAACCTGTCCCTAGTGAAGTCGCCAGCTGAAACAACCATATGAACAAATCACCGTGATAAAATCAATGAAGTCTCCATCAAACTTCTTTTATCCCACAAGAATGGAAAAGTAAACATTGAGTAAACATGAGAAGGGTGAAATCACGATAAAACGACCGAGAGATCGGGTAACGGAGTCTGTTACGCAAGGGGAAGGTATTAACATCCCACACGCATGTAATACTCTACGGTATCCACTCTTGTTGTTCTAATCAAAGGTTGTGTTTAAATCTAATTCTTAATAGCTAAAAGAAAAATTCAAAGAGGGAATGCATGCAAAAGAAAAGAGAAAATAATGCAAGGAAATAAATTTGTGCTCGCTTAGGCTCTACCCCATTGCCTCTGCATCCTTTTTGAGGAATCAAAGTTACCATAGTTCGGCTCATGTGTTTTGATTTGTTTTGTGTTTTTTAATGAGAAATATTAATTTCTTCTTATGCCTCAACTCGATCTTCGAAGACTCACGCGTCAGCACAAAAGTGAATTAACATGCTCTTTTAAAAAGTTTGAAAGAAAGGCCCGAAGGTGAGAAGAGTTTGCGTTGGTTGATATATTTTACCTTGAAGAAGGATTTGAAAGTTTTTAGATTTTTTATGCATTTTCCAAGAAAAGAGTTTTAGTATTAATGCAAAGATGCAAAAGAAAGAAAAACATCTAAGGGAAACTAGCTAGAATCTAATCCCTAATATCATCATACAATGACTGATCCTAAGATTTAGTTTTGAAAGGGAAATCTCTACCCTATATTAGAATGCATGGCTACCTATCCTAATGTCTAGCTCAAAAGCTACCCTAATCGAGTGATCCTAAGGGAAGCATACAAATTCCTATTCTAAGGGAACATGGTATGTATAGGGATGAAAAAAACAAGCAAGCTCAAAAGAGCACACATATGCCACGAGTAGTGCATACTAACTCGGGTAAAGGCCTAACCAAGATATAAATGATATAGGTAGGTACAAAATACATTAGGGATGCTTTAGCCAAGGGGTTATATCAACCGAGGCAAACAAGTGGGAAAAGGGATGAAGCGGGAAGCTTTAGCCAATGGGTCATATCAACTGAGGCAAACAAGCGGGAAGGGGATAGGAAAAAACGTGGAGCGTCAACTTCGTCCAACGCGAGTTCAAGACAAAGTGTGGGGAATCAATTACAAATCCCTTTTCCAATTGACATGCTTGATACACATGATCTGAACAACTCTGAAGCATCGACATACGACGCGAGCTAAGGATGACACAAACTAGAATGTACGGGGGTTGATTGCGAACCCTTTATGCTCTCCTCCTTTTGAGGACTTCAATAAGGGATGGGGGATAGATGCAAGCACAAATGTAAACACACGTGCAAAATACCTACTTCAAAAGTAGGATTTTAAACAAACACAGATAACATACAGAAAGCGGTGCCTACTACAGAATTTCAAACAACGACTTCGAGCGCAAGCTCTTTATTCCCTACATATCATGATATCTAGAAAGCAGTAAAGTTCTGAAATTAGATAAACAAGATAAAATACCAGAAAAACAAAAGTTTATAGCGTTGCGAGCAAAGTTGAGAAACTCGATAAACTTTGAGTAAGCTTCATCAAGCAACAGAGAGGAGTTAGAAACCAAATGCTCAGAATAAGTGTCGAAGCATTGTCGATGTGAACATAAATCACAATCGGAAGCTCAAGCATATATGCATATCACATAATAAACATGCATAAGACTCAGATCTCGACAAACAAAGGTGAATCACAAGTCTCGAGTAATCGGATAATCATGAATTAATTCCTAAAATCAAATAAAAAAGAAAACTCTAACAAATTTTATTGATTTTGCAATTTTTATCATCAAAAACAATGTAGAAAAATTATAAGCAAAATCTTAAATCTAATAAAATAAATAAGAGTAACAGGAGGGTGCTAAGCTGGAATCCAGGGGTGTATTGTAGAAATCAGGCGCCAGGCCCAAAAACTAGAGCCCACTAGTAGTTTTTTGGTATAAGTAATCCAACTCCAAAAAACCAAACAAGACATGGGCCTCAATTCGATTCAACTTTCTTCTTCTTCTTCTGCTGTTTTCTATATTGTTACTTGAGTGCACGATAGTGATAAGATTTCTGATGCATGTTGTTGTAACGTTGTAGGTTGATGATGATTGAAGATTGATGCGATGAAGATGAAGTTGTGAGAGCAGAATTGATGTTGATGATGCAATGCGGAATCATTGTTGTTGATGCGATACGGAATCGATGTTGTTGATTGAAGACAGGAGTTGATGCAGTTCATTGAAGATTGAAGTGCGACGCGAAGATCATGAATCGCTATATTGAAGAGAGTTCCATGAGTTTTTTTTTGTTAAGTTTTCTTGGTGTGATTCTTTAGAAATTGGAGAATGGTGTGAAGAAGAAGTACAAGATGATGACCCTAAACCCTAAGTCCTTGTGTTGATGCAGACAAAGATTGAAGTTGTTGAGGCTCGGAGAAGAAGATAATGAAGATGAAGTTTAGAGGAGAGAGAACTATATTTTTCTTGTGGTGATTCTCCAGAGATTAAAGAATGAATTAATTTGATGTGAGAACTCTCTTTTATCTTTTTGTTAAGCGTATGAAAAAAAATTTAGGGTTGAATAGATCTGAACCCTTGGATCTAGATTTCTGTTAGGGAATTAAAGGGTATAGATTAGGCGTTAGAGTTTGCTATGAGAGTTAGTTAATTAGTTTGAAATTTTGTTGCAAGTTAGTTAGCTGTTTGAATTCAGTTGGAGGTTAGTGAAAGGATTCTATCATGGCTTAGAAAGTTAGGCTGATGGAATTAGTTGAATGTCTCTTTTTTATTGCAGTGTTGTTGGTCTATTTAACTGAAGTAACCAGAACTTGCTTCTTTGGATGAAAACTTGGATTGCTAATATTATGGTTTGAGTTATTGAAATGATGTTGTTTTGATACGGTTTCTGAATTAATTTTCTGCTCTCTTTGTTGATGCAAGACTGCAGTTTTGGATAATTGATGTAGGGCTTGTTTGTTATATAGGTTTGGAAATTGTCAAGGCAAAGATAACTTTGTTCATGTCATGGCTGGAATTTCTTTGTAGCATGATTTTAGTTTTGTTTTACATTTTATCATAGCTGGAACTTAGTAACCTTGCAGGAGCATAACATGGCAATATTGGTTTAATTGCAGATTGATTAACTGCTTATGTTATTTGAACTGGTTTGTACTGCTAATATGTAAATTTCCATTGGCTTTCTCTTTTGCACATGAGGCTGACATGGGTCTTAGTTACACTTGAATTGAAACCCGTTACAAATTGGATTTGTATTGAACTACCATGAAGGCTTAATTCTTCTGATGAACTTGGTATATGTTGCAGGTCTGGAATTGAGCGTGAGTTGATTTGGTATAGGTTAGGTGGCATGGTGAAACCGGTTTGTCAAAGGCATGGACATAACTTGGGGTTGGAAGTCGTCTACAGGGCTTGGAAAATTTAGGAATGAAGATGAATGAACACTAAGATTAGGCTTTAGGACCTTAGGAGTTTTTGTCATTCTTTTCGTGTATTTTGTAATGAATTTTTGGATGGGATTTGTATGGTTATTTCGTTTGGATTTGGACTGTAGTTTTGTTTAGATAAACTATGAATAATGTCGAATGGGTGGTGCCTAAAACCTTTGGAACAATGAACCCTGAATCCATGTTTGAAACCAAATCTCTTAAATTAATTTCAAAGGAATAGCTTGTATCAAGAAAGTGAATATTGGATTGGAATCATTGAAAAACATATTTTTCCAACCACCTTGAATTTTTGCTCTATTGGAACTTGTATCGACTTAATCCCTCGAATGCATCACTACACTTTGATTATCTAACATACTTGAAACCATGATTCAAACAGTTTGATCTTTTAAAATCAAAACCCTAATATCAGGATAAGCATTAGGCCTTGAGCTTAAAGTACTTTGAAATAGATTCTAAAGAAGCTTGTAAGAGAAATGAGCTAAGTGATTGGATGAAGATTCTTTGCATCATTACATTCACAAACCCTATCACGAATACTTCAAGGTTCTCAATTGACTCATGCCTCAAGTAAGGATAGAACCCTTTGAATGATAAAATTCAATGATATACCTAATTCTTAAAGAGCCCATCTTGAACGCCACCTTATTTCAAAACAACCTCTGATGAAGCCTTGATGAAACTCCAAACACTCTATGCACTTGAGACATCTTGAAGAAGGAAATCCTTGTAGCTTAATGAGAGACGAAGCCCATAATATCCACGTACACAAAACCCTAATTCCACAGTCTAGTGCACCAAGAAGTACCAGAATAATCAACCTTATTCAATATATACACCTCAAATCAGTTGTAAACCCTAGCTTCACAACTACTAATCTTTTGAACCTCGAGTACTTTATTGAATGTAATGTTATGTTAATGACCTAATGGAGTATATGCAGATGAATGCAAAAACCTAAGCTAAATAAAATAAATAAGGAGGGAAAATTTTGGGGTGCAACAAAGGATATAACGAGATGTCATAATATATTATAAATATATAAAAAGTAAAGTACCTGGAAAAACCATTTCTACCATTCTGATGTTAAGTTCAAACTTTTACGATTACAGGGTTATAAGAGTCTATTTTAAGTCTTGTTGGAATATTATGCATTTGGAAATTAATGCTGCTTATGTGTCATACTCACAATTATTTGTAATATTTTTTTATTAAATTATACTATTTTAGTTAATGAAAAGGCATCCTTTAAGAACTTAAACTATACGTGGGAAATAGCATTTTCATTTGAAATTAGCACTCTCATTAGTCTTAAAAATTATCTCCTATTTCCCTTCTCTCTCATCGTTTTCTTTCTCATTCTTTTCATTTTCTCACATCCCTCTCTCACGAACCCGAAATCCACATCTCTTCTCCTTTCAAGTCTCTTTTTTATTCTTTAAATTTTTTCTCTTTATCTCTATTTTCATATCTTCTCTTCGAATCGATTTTGGTTAATGGATTTTTTTTAAAAAAATCAGATCTATGGTGAGAATCGGAGATAGGGAAGACAATTCAAGAACTTGAACAATAAGAAATGAGAGGGTTGAAATTGATTATGCTTTTGATTCGGTTTTGGTTCATTGATTTTTTCTCCAAAAAAATGTTCTTTATCTCTATTCAGCTTCAAATTGATTCTGAGATTTTGTTGATTTAGGGTTTTTTCTGGAATATGTTTTACGGGGATTCTAAAATCTATTACTCTTCTCCTTCTAAGCCAGGTATAGCTCTCGCCTCGCCATCCCCAAACGATGGCTCCATGTTCAAGTCTCTTTTTTTGTTCTCTAATTTTTTTTCTTTATCTCTATTTTCATATCTTCTCTTCCAATTGCTTTTGGTTAATGGATTTTTTTTCAAAATCAAATCTATGGTGAAAATAGAAGATGGGGAAGACAATTGAAGAACTCGGACAACAAGAAATGAGAGGGTTGAAATTGATTCTGTTTCAAACTGATTCGCTTTTGGTTAATGGATTTTTCTCCAATTTTTTCTATCTTTATCTCTATTCAGCTTTAAATTGATTATGAGCTTTTGTTGATTTAGGATTTTTTATGGAATATGTTTTACGGGATTCTAAAATCTATTACTCTTCTCCTTCCAAACCATGTATAACTATCGCCTCTCTGTCCCCAAACGATGGCTCCATGTCCAAGTCTCTTTTTTTATTCTCCAAATTTTTTCTCTTTATTTTTTTTCATGTCTTCTCTTCCAATCGTTTTTGGTTAATAGATTTTTTTCCACATTTTATTCTTTCATTATCTGTTTTACTCTCATTTGTTGTTTCTATTTTTTAGGTCCATTTAATTTGGAGATTAATGGTTTGAATACCAAAGCTAAAATCACTCAATATTAAAATGGTTATATAACTGTAAATTCTCTGTAATGTGACTTTAAAGAGTGTGTGTTGGGCTATTTTTTTGTTGATCTAATCTTTTACCATATTTTAGAAATCAATCTGCCATGTTTTGGATTTTAAAAACATCGTTAGAATCTATGTAGTAGGATATATGTTCTTATATATGAAATAAATCTGCTAAACTTGTTACTACTATAGTAGATAGTGGAAATCATGTTAGTGTTATTGGTGGTGGAAATGTTGTACTTGAACATATGCCAATTGATGGTTTTGATTTCTAAGGAACAATCCTTATCCATACACTGAGGTAATTATATGTGTTCTGCAATGCTGATGGAGCCTTTATAGGAAAAATTACCTATTGTGAGCTATGCTTAAGTTATCCATATCTTCTTGAAACATAATTTTATTGTGTCTTGCAGATCTAACATTTGTTACAACAAATGATTTGGAGTTGCTTTGATGTAGTTGATTTCAACAACAAAGGATAATTTAAAAAGAATATGGTGCTCAATGATAATTAGAGTTGCACTGTCTATTTTTTGCAAATTTATTTTTTGTATATATGAATTTAGTGTAAAATAGGTAGAATATAATGAAGCGGTTGTGCAAAGTGTGTTGTAAATATCTATTGAAGAGAATGTATATATAACTAATGTTTAAAACGGTTGTCATATGAAATAAATGTGTTATTGATAATGGACAAACAGAATTAATTTGAATAATCAAGCAATTAAAGAATATTTGAATTGGTCATCAAATATTAAAGGAGAGTTATTTGGTTATTATTAGCATTTAGAAGCATATAACTCTGTCAAGCAGTAACAGCCAGGCAACAAAAGTTTAGGCTTAATTCAAACATTTTCTATTCAATTCTTACTATGTAATATATGTATATATATACTTAGTTGTATATCTTAGAAAAAATAATTTGATAAATTTATTCATTTATATGGTATCAGTAGTTCAATAAGCTTTACAGCAAAACGATCCTCAATCTCACCATGTCTTCCTCAACAACATCTGAAATTTCAATTACCCCAAATGCCAACTCTGTTATTGTCTTAAAAACTCACTCGTCAGTGAAACTGAGCAGCAACAATTTTCCTGCTTGGCACATGCAGTTCAACGCACTCCTTGTAGGGTATGATCTCATTGGCTATGTTGATGGAACCACTTCTAGTCCAGCCCAAACAGATCCAACATACAAATGTTAGAAAAGACAGGATCAATTGATCCTGCATGCAATCATATCCTCTGTTTATCCAAGCATCATTACCATGTTGGGGAATGTCAAGACCTCTAAACAAGCTTGGGACATTCTCACTAAGATGTTTGCAAGAAAAACTCGTGCAAGAATTATGCACCTAAAAGAGAG